CCAGAAGGCACTAATTAGAGAAGATTAGTGCTTTAATCAAAATTATACAAAAAAGCAAACGTTAATTGGAAACACGGCCAGTTATAAGACATTATACTGGCGGCGTTAATAATAAGCAATTCACGCACCCCTAAACATTAGAACAGGGAACGGTGTTGCAAACACTGAGGAGCATGAAAAATATCTTCAGGATATAATTTTGAACACGTCATGGATACTAAAATTTTCCACGTTTTTCAAATTAAACGGCTCTGGGTGTAACACAAGATTGTCATTTCCATTTTATTCCGCCGTTTCGTCTTCCGACAGAGAAGACATCAGGGATTTTTCACAACAGTTTACCTCACTATTTTGTTAACAATCTATTTTTACCTTTATTACTTTACTGTTATTTATTCATTTAAATTCAGCACATTATTCCATCGCCTACGCTGTACAGCAAGTTAGTTGGAAATCTTGATTAATCAGTAAACTTTCAATAACGCAAGGCTGAACACTTTTAGCTCACCTTTCGACTGGGCGTTGACCACCAGTACATTGACCATACACTCAACGTCGGCTTCGATCGGCTGATCGAGTATAGTTTGCAAAAATCCGTCGAGCACTGACAGGCACACGGTACGCGTAAGTTTCGAAGGGTCAGCAAGTATGTGGAAAATCCCGTCCAAAATATCTGACACATACGATACCAACTTCATGTCCGGATTGTTCTGCAACGTTTGTACCTGCAAAAACTCCTAAACTGAGAAACTCAAAGCATAAAAAAGTTAAACAACAAACTGCGAACATCTGAGGACAAGACTTCCCAAACTGTTTAAACCACAACATATGTTACATGTTGCTGAGGTCTCTAAGGCTTGTAAGCCACTGCTCAACGCAATGGCATATCGACCTTTGGTTACAAGCGTATATAATGCCTACCCACATGATCAGGAAGCACTTGACGAACTCGTTTTGGGTGTAAATTCTTTCTCGCAGAAGCGCCATAAACTTTCCAACTTCGAATTTGCCGCTATTGACCACAACGTCCTAAAATAACATTGTTTCCATCAAGTGCAAAATAATCCGTCAATGTAAGGTGCACTTTACTGATGAATTGCACGATGATGAAATGTGTGTATTTTCTTTGTTTCAAATATTATCGCAATTCTCGCGTAAATAAATTGAGCAATGAGGTTCAGTTTACAACTTATCGAACAATTCATAGTAAAGAAGGTCAAAGCTTGAATTTGATGCCAATAAATCGGGTTCCTATGAAGAGACTGCAAAACATGACCAGAATAGATGTTCAATACACAAGGCATATTTCAGCCATGTAGCCACTGGCACGCTATATACCTTAGCAGTGAGAACCTCCCTTGCAAGTTAATTTTGGTATGAAATGACACGACTGTAATTCTATGACATGCATAAGCGATTCACAAACGAATTCATCTAAAAGAATCCTGATCGACACCGTGTCGAATCATGCAAGACAATAACCAATACAGAAACCTTCATTACTGCCGCTTGTTTCCGGGATCCGACTCTTTCGGTCACAGCGCAGCACTCATGCAGAGAAGTACACAGGCAAAATTGGACAAATATACAGCTTCGCGCTAAATATCAGTTTTTATCGCATCAGAGCAGACCAAATATAACTCCGACACTCTTGGGGTCACTTTCATCTGACCGATTCGTGCATCTATTCATTTGCTTAGGAATGCTCTCGTGATATTTTAAATTTCTCCACTAGTCACAGTTGCATTTAACGTGGCTGAAATCCACACTGGGTGAATTTTCACCAGGAGAAAGACTAAGATGATATGAGAAGAAACGGATGTCATGAAATCACTTGCAAGTGACAAGCGGCAGACCGAATATACGCAATGACCACAATGTCGGCGCCAAGACTTAGTCTGCTGAACCTACTTATAAAAATTATGCAAAGGAAAAAAGACAGCAAGGAACCATAGGGAATTTTAGCACATTCTTTTAAGACATCAGAGCCCGGCCGTTAAACCGGATGCGGACCTGTCAGCAGCCATGCAAGGATTTAGGCCAGCAGTAGTCGATCACCTATCGAATATTCCTGCAAACAATTTCCACTGCTTTGATTACAGCAGACTCTTGTCATATAATTTTTAATAGTCTATAAAGAAAACTAAACGCCAAACGTCTTTTGCACATTTCCAGCGCTTTTCAGGGGACTCTAGGGAAGACAAGAAATGCAAGCCCCTGTATTATTG